AGCCCTTGCTCGGGCAACAGACTTGGCATAAAGTTCTTCATACAACGCCGCTGATGATTCCCAGCTAAAATCTACGCCCATGACCTTTTGGACAAGCTGTTTCCAACCGTCAATGTTATTCTTGTAGAGGTAAAATGCACGCTCTAAAGCATTATTAAATCCCTGTAAATTTCCGTAAAATCTCAGTGTCAAAATGGTTAAGGTTGAGGAGAAAAATGAATGATTTATTCCCAAGAAAGGCCGCAAGAACAGGATAGGTTTAATTGAAAGTTCAATAAATTATCAATGAATAGAAAACAAACTGCAATATCTCAGGATCACTCATTACCTGCTCATCAGCTGTCAAAAATGTGAATCCATTTCTGTACTGAATAGGTATGGCATCATCATCTACATCAAAAACACTGCAAGAGAAATTAAGAGCTTAATTTCAAATGCCCTATCTGTGAAATTGCAAAATTTGCAAGGGTTTATTTAGAAATTGTGCGCTGAGTAGCCAACCTATCATTGAGACCACCGGTTTTTCTAGCTATCGGGATCGAACCATATCTCATTGCAATCATCTACATCCATGTAACAGGGATTGAAACAGAATCAAGATTAATAAACTAAGTTTTCAATGTTCAAGGGTGACAGCCAAAGCAATTCTTCGAGCATACCTGTGTAAGGCCACAAGGCTCAAAGATAGATGGAATAGTAAGCATGTCAGTGGCTGCATAAATTAAGTGGGAAAGAGACTCATCGTACTTCAATATCAACCGAACATGTTCGTGACTCTGAAAATGGTTTGCAATATCCTCGAATTCTTTCTGTCATAAAAACGAATACCAGTGTCATATTTTTTCAATGAAAAAACATGATCATTCAAATTATCTTGATGATGAAGAACGTATAGTAATATAAACATGTAACCAAAATTCTTCGTATTACCCTCTACGGAGAAGGTCGGAGGATATCTTCTTTTTTCCTTTTATCATTTTCTTTAACAAGTTCAAGTGGTAAAAAGCTACACGGTTGTGTATGCCCTAATAGAGATAGAAGGTAGAAATTACCTGAATGTGTGGCACTGGACTGGATCCAAGAAGAACGAACTGTCCTCCCAATTCCAATGTCCGATATATTGCATGCCTAATAAGATGCACACCCTTTTGAGGTACCAATCTTGTTATGCAACCAACCTGCCCAGCAAAAAATTGAAAACCCCATTGGACAAAATCTCTGGAAAGGGTAGGGAGGGGGTTTATCTTAATATATGGTGATGTTGAAAATATCATAGCAAATCAATCTACACTCCTTATAAATAGAATGCCATCTCACGCTATTCCTTTTGATACACCCTTGACCGTGCTCAAAAAACTCCCATTTCTAGCCACAAATTTTAATCCATAACGTTTGAAGTGTTTAGTTCCATAGCATTTGCTCATTACCATAACCACACTAACAAAATTTAGATCCCAAAGCTCCTAGGTGTGTTTCGTGGGGTATTCACTGACTCAAAAGGGACAAAGAGCTTTCATCCAGAATCCAAAAAATAAAAAATAAAATATGGAGATCCAAATTTTTAAATCAGTCTTAATTCCAG